ACAGCAGTAAATAACATAATCCAGCTATTAGCTTTTGTTCCCTAAGACATGGACGTATACTGTACCGACCCTCACAAGGACATGACTCATGGGAAATTATACGAATTTTCTCTCAGCTTTCTTCATATTTACTGCTGATACACAAGCAATCATACGCCATGTTCCCCTCCACAGCTACAAATGCAGCGCAGAGTGAAAGACGTGTAATCCAATTTCCTTTGTGTATTATTGTTATTATTGGTAGATATCAAAATGCATCACAAACGTATTATAAATCATCACACTATTTCATACTCAAGAACAGCTCCATTTCCATATGAACTTTAAAGCAAGGCTGTGTCAGTGAGGACTGAGCGAAATGCATGTTTGGAACAGAGATATTTCAGCAGCAGCGTTAGCAGAGGGAATAATTTACATGTTGTTTTTTCACAGTTCAACACCTTATTTCAATTAACCTATGATCTGTGCCGAATGACTTGAAAGCTGATGGGTTATTCATTTACTTTCCATCCAGCAGATTCTCTTGGTCCCTTCGCAAAGCCTGAGCATGGCCTCCTTCTAACTGCACAAACAGACTTTGAATTATTTGAGGTTCCATTGACTTGTTAACTTTTGCTATTCCTTTTCCATTAGGAGGTGATTACCACCCAGGAGCCACATTTCAGGGAACAAAAGACATGATTTTCTTTTTTCTTTTTTTTTTCTTACCTTAGCACAAAACAAGTCTCCCACAAAAACAGTAACAAAGAGATAAATCTCCTAATCAGCCTCATTTCACATCACCATGAGATTATTCCATGACAGAGGAGGGGACCAGTGAGATCTAATAATTCTTTTAACTTCTTATGTGGCAAATTAGCTGAAACAAATGCTAAATGTGTGTTCCCTTACCATTTTTTCCCTCCCATGCAAGATAAACAGCACCTGATAATGTGTATGAAACATTAACCTGATGAACAACCATGCGGTGCCTACTGAAAGTGAAGCCATTAAGCATAATACAAAAGACACACACGCTGTCGGTTCTCATTTGTCACCCCGGCATGACTACTGAGTCCCGGTAAAGTCTCATCAGGGCGTGTGTGTGTGTGTGTGTGTGTGTGTGTGTGTGTGTGTGTGTGTGTGTGTGTGTGTGTGTGTGTGTGTGTGTGGGTGTGTGTGTGTGTGTGTGTGTGTGTGTGTGTGTTCCTGAGTGCTTCTGTGTATGCATATGCTCTGACAACACTCGAAAAGCCGTGCTCCTCTCCTGGATTCCTGTCTCATTGTCTGTCATCAATCTCAGACCTATAACCCCAGTGGTAATAACAGAACCACTGAGATACATTCAAGTGCAACAATGTGTGGGCGTCGAATCACACAAACAGGTTATGAATAAGTCTGTCCTGACTATTGGCGGTACTTTGGAGAATATCACTCCACGTGCTCACGCTCTATGACAGCTAATTGAAGGTTCCCCTTGGGCTGAGTGCAGCAGAGACATAATAATCAAGGAGTCTGTCCTGGTTTCGCTATATAGCCCAAATGTGGGATTTGCTTCTTTTGTCATAATCAAAGGAATATTGCACAGGGAAAGTATTCAGTGTGTCTCCACAGTGGGAAACTGAAATATTTGGTCCGTGTTATGAATAACAAAAGGTAGAGAAAAGGCTGCAGCAGCACTACCAGCAGATCAGTACCCATCCCTCACAGTCTGTTCTTATGAACTTATCCACTTACACATCTATGTGAAGAAGTGACTGCATGCGAGGAGTGTCCATTTTAATATCTATGGGTTAATTCCTCCCAGCTTTCATTGGATTAAATTAAACCAAGCTATGTCATAAAGGTAATAAGATTATTGTGTTGCTGGCAGGATTACAGGCTGACACGCTATGTACACAGGAGCAGCAGTGGTCAGAGAGGTTGCATTGTTTATGCACGAATCTCCCCGGGAAGCATAGCCTACATTCACATTAGCCTCTTTTTCACACAGGAAAGAGGATTAGTTTGCATCAAAAACATGAAATGAAACCTCCCAACAGGATTATTTTAGCCCTTCTACTTATGTCCTTTTCATAATGTGTCTCGTTAATGAAGCTGTTTAATGTACAGCTGTATTTTATGATGATGGACACTGAGAAGAGCAACTTCTAGCGATGCCAGCACAGCTTTTCTGTCTCGGGCAGCACAGACAGGCATTGGGTCAGCCAATCACCCCTTCCTCAAAGCTAAAGCCATTCAGTTTGCTTTGGGGCAATCCTTCTCCAAAGCTCTGGCAGAGCCAAACCCATTAGTTCTAGCCTTGTATTAACCGAGTCAAACATTAATTACCTCCACAGTTTCACTGTTGATAGCAGGTAGCAACAAAAGAAAAAGAAAACGCATTAAAAATACTTCAAAGAGGTTTAATTGTTCATGTTGTAACTGGAGCATGGAGCTCGACATCCCAGCGAGCCATGACAAGCAGCCCTCTTGAGTGAGGGGCGTAGACAAGATACAGTTGTTAGTTGACATGCTGAAGGAATGTGCTTGGATTACAGCAGATGCCTCTTTGATTTATTGGTTGTAGCTGCGAGCCCTTTATCTTAAATCATGCTGCCGAACAGCGATTCATTTTCATTTTATTTCTGTCTGGATTCTAAACTCCCCACCCATAGAGACTGGGATCTTATCGTTATCATCTTTCATACTTTGGAAATGAGAAACCCGTAAAGGGCCCCACGGTTTCTTGGGGATCTTCTGGAGGTTTGCCAAACAAGCCTGACCCAGATGTTTAAAAAGAAACAATGATAATAATTTGCACACTCCGATATGTCGACACGCATTCATTTCCTTTAGACAGCGCTGGAACATTACATGCTGCAGTGTGTAAACTTAACCAGACATTTGCAAGGGTGTTTGATTTTTATTTTGTTTTTGTTTTTGTGACTATTGCTTTCACCTCTGTGAGTCTTCTCAGCAAGTCATGAAAAAACAAGGGTTATGGCAATAAAAGGGTATTGGTGCAGAATAGAGACAGGCATTTCTCCCAGCCAGCTAAATGCTAGTGCTGAAAGGACACTAAGCACAGGTTGTCTCTCAACCACTGTGACGGGCTGTGCAGCCGAGAATTTCACTGTGTTGAGTAAAAGGATACAGGTAGGGGAGGAGGGACGAGAGGAGAGGAGGCTGAGGTGAAGCCAGCCAGCCAAATCTGCCTTCAGCTCAGTGTCAAAACAGCCAGTCAGCTGTGTACACCTTCATGTCACCTGCTTGTGTGTGCGTGTGTGTCTGTGTGTATGTAGTTCTACAGCCCCCACCAGGAGGGAGCACACAGAGTCATCTCCTCTGGTCAATAGAGCCTAATTCGCCACAGGTAGCAGGCAGCCTCAAAGACGATTTCCCTTCAGCTCAACTGTGCTGAAGCCTTTCATCCACACCGTGGGGCCTATGGTGATAGTAGCAGTGGTGTGTGTGTGTGTGTGCGTGCATGCGTGCGTGCGTGCATGTGTGTGTGTTTGGGGAGGGGGGGCTATCAGCCAAACCCATTATCCAATGGAGGCAATAGATATGAAGGTGTTGGTGCCTGGGGCCTGGCTGCCTCTCCTCCGATCCACTGAAAGACAGAAATTGTCCTCTCCTTCTCCAACTTGGCCCCGTTGTTTCTAAATTTTCCTGTCATCGTTTTCTTTGTGTGCATCTCAACCCCCCCCCCCCCCCCCCCCCCCCCCCCCCCTTCCTCCCTCCCTCCCTCTCTCTCTGTATTCCCCTTGTCCTGCCTCCGACTCCCTCCTCTCTTTTGACTCTCTGTCGCTGTGTCTGTTCGATGTTTTCACCAGCCGGTTGTACTACTGACAACGACTGTGCTCAGCTCGAGCAGTGTAACAGCACCTCTTCACAGTGTCTGCATGCTCTACAGGCAGCCTAATGGAGGAAATCAAAGTGCTCAAATGTGATTAGATTCAGTATGCGCATTGCATTCCAATCAGGGCTCCTTTGATTGATAAAACTCCTCCCTTTAAATTCAACCAACATTTTTTTTTTTTGGGGGGGGGGGGTATACTTTCTTTTTGCACTTGGAGGAGTGTAGTAGATTTATATCAAATAGTTAGTGTTTATCAACATTTCATCTATGAAACTCCCTCATGTTCGACTTTTATGATATGTAATTACAGTGCTACTCACACCTCTCTGGTGTATCACATGAAAAATGTCTTCATAGTTTTTCCTTAGTGGCTCATGTTAAATGTAAGGAGTGCACTATTTTCTCCTTTCTCGGGACTGAAACATATTGTTTTTGCCGGGGGCATTGCATGAGTTACTGCACACCTACTTTATCAGAGTATGAGTTGTAGGGAGAAACAACTGTAAAATGAAGGTTCGGGTACCATGGCTACACATACAGGTTCTGTGTTGCTTTAGTGAAATTTAATCAGCCATGCCACGAAATCTCCCAGGCAAGAATGATTGCCAGGCAGGAGGATGTTACTGTAATTATTGTCTTGTTCGCTGCAGACTGAGTGCCTTGGATAAGCCATAGTCAACGGGAAGGCAAATACGCTTGTTGCACAAAGCACTTAGCAGCAATTTACACAACAGGATACTTGGATGTATAAGCATTACAGTGTTGAACATGTTGAGAAAAAAATTAGGAATGTTACTTACATGGCACACTGCTAAGGTTTTGTGGTACATTAGGGCATCTAACCACCAGGAGGTCAAGGTTTGAATACCTGCCAAAGTATTCTTACCAAAATACTTGATATAATCCACTTTATATACCCAAGGGGTGCCACAATAATGAACTGACCTTACGCTGCCACCGCAGGTCAAACTACCATTAGGTTTTTATTTTTATTCCCAGCACTGCATCATGTTTTCATAAAAACTGATAATTATGTGTCCCAGTGAGAATCAAATTCCATCTATCATAGAAGCGATAATGTTTTTCCCATTGGGCTGCTCATCATCACATAATACTGCTCCACCCAAACATAATGCCACTCTACCTTCTCTCTCTCTCTCTCTGCCTCTCTCCACAGCTCCACCACTGTCAGAAGTCACCACGTCCCCTCAGCCTCAGAGAACTACAACCACCACCACAACAACCACAGTGCACCGGGGTGTGGCCAACACTACCACCACAACAGGGCTCAGGGAGGGCAGCAGGGGAGCACCCAAGCCGCCTCCTGTGATTCCACAGACTACTTCCCCTCCACCCCTGGAGTCCTTCCCTTTACCTGAGCGCTTCTGCGAGGCCACCGAGAAAAGAGACATCATGTGGCCTCAGACCCAGAGGGGAATGCTCGTGGAGCGACCTTGCCCCAAGGGAACACGAGGTAAACAGGGCTCCCGCTCACCCCGGGGGGGCCGCGTGCTTGCTGTTTTCAATATGACCTGAAGCGTCCCAAGAGAACATCCCCCAGTTTGTTAGATCTGTCTGATATTCTTGCATACAACGATCTCTTTATCTGTAACAAACACCGCTTTCAGTGGGTGCGCTGGGAATCAGTGAAGTCAGTTTGTAATGGTGTTAGATTTTAACTGTGTCATTCCAGGTCAAAACGTGATTAAGCAAATCTGTTACGGCTGTGTTGCAGTTGAGCAGGCTCAGCTGTTCCTCCTGGAGCTTGCGTGGAGATGTGCATCCCTCATTTGATTGTGTGTGAAATAAGGGCTAATTAGGATCGGGATAAAAAAAAAAAATTTTGTAGCAAAAACAGGCACGATGAGTCTTTTGGAAAGAATTCCAGAAAATTATTCTGTAGAAACAAAACTGGTGACTCTACATGTTTGGAGTTTACTGGATCCAACATTTTCAGTTTAATTTGTCCTCTGACAGCATTCAAACAGTCTTAGCAGACTCACATAGTGAAAAAACAAAGTATCTGCCAGGGCTGATATTTCTGTGCATACACAAGCAGACTCTGTGGCTATTTGGATAACATTTTAAATTTGCATGTTCGTAAATATGTTGTCTGGGTGCAGTTTCTTCTTTTTATCTCCACCCTTGTCCTTTGTTGCCCTGTGAAGGACTTCATGGGAAAATAAATTTGATTTGACTTGATTAAACTTGACTTCTCTGTTCTTGTTTTCCCTGTCAGGCACAGCCTCTTATTTATGTGTCCTTTCCACTGGGGCCTGGCACCCGAAGGGCCCTGATCTCAGCAACTGTACCTCCCACTGGGTCAACCAAGTAGCCCAGAAGGTTTGTATGAGCTCTGCCTGACTGTTTTCCTCCTAAGCATAATGTGTTTCTTAAAAAACACAGAGGGGGTAGACGAAATTATGGAAACACGTCCTTGTAAAAGGACTTCGACACTGCAGTAACTTCATCACTGCTACAGAGATGGCAGTAAATCTGGGTCAGATTAGCTTGAAAGCAGTACTTGTCAGCTATAAAAGAAGTCTGTAAAAAAAACTGCAAAGGTTAGCATCCGTAGTAAAACTGCAGGTGCATCAGTTGAAAGAACTGCAAAATTATATGTTAAGGAAAAGCATGACACACCAACTGCATCGAAAAAGAAATAAAGCATAACGCACAGACGTAGATATGAAAGGTAAAGTAGATACTATACTGTATATAGTAATGGCTCATGTAATGTAACTGTAGAAATTATTAAATTGGCCTCCAAGTTAAAGGCCTTTTACATGAAGTATTAATATTTTCTCTACCCTGCGTATAATATATACCATAGAATTAACAGCAAACGTAGGAAGCTGCTCACTGCATGTAATTTAAAATTTACCACACAGTGAAAAAGAAAAAAAAAAAAACCTGCTACCATGGCAACTTCTCTGACGTGAAGAAAACACTTTTTCATAACTGGCATTTCAAGGACTCATTCAAGTGTGATTTGATGTCAGAAACAGGGCTGTAAAGAACCATCCAAGTCTGTCTTCTTGCATTCTTGTGAACATTACTCACTCTCTCTCCCCCCTGCAGATCCGCAGCGGTGAAAATGCAGCTAACTTGGCCAACGAGTTAGCCAAGCACACCAAAGGCCCCATCTTTGCCGGGGACGTCAGCTCCTCTGTGCGCCTAATGGAGCAGCTGGTGGACATCCTGGATGCTCAGCTGCAGGAGCTCAGACCCAGCGAGAAGGATTCTGCAGGACGGAGCTTCAACAAGGTAACCGCATCCACCAGAGCAAAACATCAAAAACATGAACAAAAATGTGCTGTATTAAACATTAAATACTAACTCTCACCAATTCTCCCCGGCTGAATCATCCTACAGTCAAAGTTTACATGGCTTATAGGAGCTTAACGGACAAGTTAATACGTTTAAATGTCAAATGCAGAATTTCATTTTGCCCCTCAAAATAATGCAGCAATACAGTTTGTAGTTGTCACTGTTTGTCACACAGAGTCGGTCCCTTTCTCCCTTTCTTTTCAAAGTCAGGAAGGTTGTGAGAAAAACAGAACAAAAACAAACAACAAAAAAAAAATAGACATGATTTTAGACTGTGACAAGGAGCAGACATCTCTATTCATGCTAGTATTTGTTGTAATGGCCATAATTTGGCTCTGCCAAGCGTAGTACTTCTGTGATGTGTCAGGAGGATTTCAAAAGAAAATACAGTCATGAATGTGATCCAAAGCACAGATCCTTTTATTTCTTCAGCCTTGTGGTACACAGGTCAGCAGCACGCGAGACGGTGCACTAAGATGATGGGGACTGTCTGGACCTATCATTGAATAGTTTGTTTGTACATCCAGCACTCAGTCAGGACCTTTTTCTCTAAATCCTTTACTTAAGCTCATGAACTTGTACAAATTATGTCTCTATTTTTTATCTGTTCTTTTTCTTTTTCTAATAAAAAAGCTTCAAAAACGAGAAAGGACATGCAGGGCATACATGAAGGTACTGGAGCAATGCTTCTGCCCACTCTTCTCGCTGCCGTCCCCTCCTCTGTTCCTGTGCTACTGTATACGCCCCAGCCCAAGTTCAGCAGCATGTTCCCCTCTGCACTGTCATGTACTCCCTCCTCCCTGTGCTTCCTGCTTCTTTGAGTAATTGCCTTACACACAGACCAATCGTACCCAAAGTGCTTTCCAAGGCAAACTGAAGTCATCTCCAATTACTGATGTGGCTTCTTGTCATGGATGTGTATATGTCTCTTTTTTTTTTTTTTTTTTTTAATTTGTTTTTTTTTCCTCTATGCGTTGACAGCACTGGTGTATTTTGTTTTTCATTCTGTTTTTCCCTTTTGTAAGTGTTTACTTAAGGTTGCACGTCTGGATGCATAACACCACAGCTCAAACATCCTGTTCTTACATTCCTCTCATTATTCATTTGCTGAAGGATTTGCTGCTTTGTTGCATTTTTTTTTTTTTTCATTTTTTTATGAGAGCTCCCTTCCATATAAAACACTCCTGAATATTACATTTAACACAATTCCCTGATTTAGTCAAACCTTTTATTTCAGGGACCATCACCTGACCTTTCATCCCATGTAATGTAAAAGCTGTGCGTCTTGTTTCACAAGGACACAGGTTTTAGGTCATGTTAGTCATTTGTTTCATAAATTAAAGGTGCAAATCTTTAGCTTTCTCTGGTTAATAGGGTTAGTCAGGTCAAATCATTTTTTTCCCTTTTTTGTAGAACGCTATCAGATGAGGTTCACACATCAAAGTATTTTGGCCATATATATATCTCTCTACCATTAGGGAGATCGGTGTCCTCCACCTGCCACCAAAGTCACCCCCCCTCAATCCGGATCTCTCCTGCGGGAGGGTATTAAAATGGATCGAGCTAATTAGCCAGTCAACGGCCGTGCGCTCGTAAAAAGAAAAGAGGGGAAGGGGGAAAAAAAATGACATGTATGTAGTCGCACCACCTCTCTTAAAAAAAAAAAAAAAAAAAAATGTCACATCATCATTTTGGTTCTTAATGTCACAACATGTAGATTTAAAGTCAGAGGTAGCGACTGTGTTAGAGAGGTTTTGTCGATGTAAATGACGGGATTAATTTGACTAATGACAGCATGAGAGGATCTGGGACACCGATTGTTGAGTCAGCAGTATCTGACATCTGCCATACTTGACGGAACATCACATTAGCCAGCCCTCCCACCCCTCCCCACCCTTTGCGCCGGCCGTCACCGCCATTGATTACCTGATTAGATACATTGATTTGATTATTTTCAGAAGAAAAGCCAGCTTCATGGCAGAAAGTGTGAAGCCAGAAAAATGTTTGCATGAAGGATACAGTTCAATAAAAAAAAAAAAAAAAAAAAAAATTGAATATCGCACGTTACATTCCCTCTGACTTTTAAGTGCTTTGTGCGGGGAGACTTAAGGTCTTACTCTGCAGTAAAGTATTGGCACTTGACTACAAGTTGACTGCAGGTCAGAAGTCAAAGAAAAAGAAAGTTTCCACATCCCGGATGCTGAACTTTGCAATTAGAGAATTTGGATCATCAGGCCATCTCTTAATATCCTGTTATCGGAGCGACCTCATTGGCTCAATACGACGTGACCCTAGTGTCTGCAGTTTCTCCTTCAGGATCAATAGAGTCTCAGTATTATCCAGTAAATATCTGTCATTAATTATTCTTTTCATATATACGAAAACAACAAAAGCTTTTAGCTTCTTTATTTTCTTTATTTTCCCAACATGTTCATTTTAATCCGCACAGTTGTGCTGCTTCATCCATTTCATTTCAGTGTCTGCATGTCTCTGCTCATGATTGCAAATAAAATCTATTTTTTTCCCCCTGAGTTACTCAAGTATCTTTGTTTATGTTTGTGTATGTTTCTGTTTGTTTTTTGTATGGACACAGGCCATTGTGGACACCGTAGATAATCTTCTGCGACCAGAGGCCTTGAAGTCCTGGCAAGACATGAATAGCACAGAACAAACACACGCAGCCACCATGTTACTGGATACTTTGGAGGAAGGGGCTTTCGTCCTTGCCGACAACCTCATGGAACCTGCTTTTGTCAAAGTTCCTGCAGACAATATAAGTAAGTAAAGCCGAGGTTGTGGTGAGCAAATGACAAGCGTTCTGGATTGATGCGAGCTCAGTTAATTTGATTACTTTCAATTCATCGAGAGAGTGACTCTTGTGATAGGAGAACAAGGCTGCCACATAAAAAAAGGACTTTGTTTTCATAATAAGCGTTTAAACCTCGGGGGAACAGAAAAACAACGCATATTAGGTTTAACGAGTCGCTTACTGACAAAGTGATGAATATCAGACAATTAAATAGACTGGATTCTCTGATTGCGCACGCTTAGTTTATAAATGTATGCGTCTAGACCTTGTAACTCTATACATTAATGTGAACATTAGCCTGCTGTGGAGTCAGAAAAAGTCCATTGTTTATCCACAGCCTCGTCTTCCTTCCCTCATTTTCTTCAGCTGTTAGACCATATAAGGAGGGCTTCTTCTTAGTTGTTGTTTTCTCAGCACTGTTTTATTAGCGAAGAGTCTCACTGGAATAAAATTATCACTTTGTGATTGACGTTTTTATTGTGTAGCTCACTGTTTGAGTTGTTGCTATGTCCTTTGGTCTGTGCAAAATTTCAGTGTTTGTAGAAATGTGAGAAAGCTTCGGCATAAATAGGCTGCACTATTTTGTGTTTTATGCCTTTGAATCCGAGTCATGTAAAGACTGATATCTCATTCCCTTTCCCCCCCTCATCTTCTCTAACCCCACTGCCTCCCTGCACCTGGCAGTCCTGGATGTGTATGTACTCAGCACGGATGGCCAGGTCCAGGATTTTAAATTCCCACAATCCAGCAAAGGCGGTATCTCCATCCAGCTCTCGGCCAACACTGTCAAGCTCAACAGTCGGAATGGTAAGCTCTCTTAAATGTACTGAAAGAAAAGAAAAAGAGAGAAACTTGGTCAAGGTAACTCTGCTTACTCTGAAATGATGATGAAGTGCTTCTTCAGTGTGTGGGTATGTGGGTTTGACATCTGCTACTATTCTTGTTTCTTTGAAAAGGTGAAAGGTCTCTCTGTATTAGTGTAGGAGCACAACAGGAAGGAGTTTATTTCAAAGACTTCAAGCCCGGTGATTGCAAGCCAAAAAAAGAGAGGCTACATTTAAGAGCTGGTTCCTGCAGTTACATTCATGTTCAAGTGTTTACGTACTTTTAGTCCTCTTATTGTGCATGATTTTTCACCCCAGTTTTCTCTTCATACATTTTCCAAATTGTTCTGGAAGCTTGATTTTTTTTCTTTCTGTCATCTTCTGATGTCTGTCACTCAACAGGAGTTGCCAAGCTGGTTTTCGTCCTCTACAAAAACCTGGGCCAGTTCCTCAGTACAGACAACGCCACCATCCAGATGGCCAACGAGGCTTATGGCCGCAACGTGTCGGTGGCCGTCAACTCTGACATCATTGCTGCCTCACTCAACAAAGAGTCCAGCCGTGTATTCATTAATGACCCGGTGATTTTTACCCTGGAGCACATTGATGTGAGTCTTCCCACTGGAATAAATGGAGAGGTCATATTAAAAAACTCCAGGAGGGTACATCCAGAGTAGACAGAGATCTGCAATTTGAATTGTAAATGTCTGGCTAGGTCAGTCTGCAGTTTATTTAAGTCATTGAGCATCAAATTAAAGGAGTCTTTAGAACCTAAGTGAATTCTTAATGAAAACTAATTCTTTAATCAACATTGGGATATAAATGATACCCATTTTCTTTTATAGTGGGGGGAATTAACTCCTAGATTAGCTGTACAATCTAGGATGAAATTACTGGAGCACCAATTATCTTTCGTCTTTTAAAGTTGTCACTAGAGTTCCCAGAGGGCCATGCGTGACTCCATTCTTTATCAGAGAAATTGTGCAATTCCAAAGACATGCCGTCAAACAATTACGCTTCTCTGTTATTAAGGCCTCATACACGCGACCATGTTTCGGTTGATTTAGCAAGCATGTGCCAAATGAGATACAACATATGAATTGCTTCATAAGAGCTGTGAAGTGAAAAATCCTCATCCATATCAGTGTGGAAAAATACTTTGTATGAGTAGGGGGTAAATGGCCTCTGTGTTCTACATGTACTTCAATTTCAGGCAGTCAATTATTTGGACACTTAACCATATCTCTTGTTATCTGCAGATGGAGCACTACTTCAACTCCAATTGCTCCTTCTGGAATTACTCTGAGAGGAGTATGATGGGCTACTGGTCCACCCAAGGCTGCAAGCTCCTGGATTCCAATAAAACACACACCACCTGCTCCTGCAGTCATCTCACCAACTTTGCCATCCTCATGGCGCACCGTGAAATCTCCGTATGTCACATCAATTTTTATTTTATTTTTTTAAATATTTAGTTCTCCGTCAAACTCACTTCAAACCTTTAAAACGTAGTTCTACATCATGAGTTGATCAAGCTTACAGTACTCACAGTGAGGTTCAGAGTTTTGTTATCTAATTTATACTAGCTCCACAAACAAGTTAGCTGAGTATATAGATATGATATAAACGTCACTGTCATGTTTTATAATTCGGCTGTCTATCCTTTACCCCTCGCAGGTTAATGGCAGAGTCCATGAGCTTCTTCTTACCGTCATCACCCGCGTCGGGATCGTGGTGTCCCTCGTCTGCCTCAGCATCAGCATCTTCACCTTCTGCTTCTTCCGGGGCCTGCAGAGTGATCGCAACACCATCCACAAGAACTTGTGCATTAATCTCTTCATCGCCGAGTTAATATTCCTAATTGGTATCGATATGACGGAACCCAGGGTAAGCCGGAACGATTGCACCCTATTGATTTGGTTTTGATTCATTCCCTCTCACTTTATCTCCTCTCACCCCCCAAAACAAAGCCAAAGACCCTTTCAGAGTGAAATTGATGAGACTTTAAGCATTGTTTGTTTCTAACCTTCCCTGCTTGTCCCTGACACGACATGAGTGGGACAGCACCATTAATATAGATTACTAAGGGGCCATGTCTTCCCCTTGACAGGTCTTTTTTCCTCTTTCACTTAAAGCCACAGTTGCCATGGCTGAGCCTGCAACCATAACATGATTTTTTTTTTTTCTTCCCCCCACCCCACCTTCATTCTCGCTTCAGTTTCTAGGAGCACAAAAAGATTTTTTCTGTGTACAGGTGGGAATCGAAGCTTCCAGTGCTGAGCTGTATGATTAAATCTACTGACTCCAACCTTAAAATACAAATGGCATTTAAATTTCTGCCGTGCTGATGGAAGGCTAAAGCTGTGCATAGTCAGAGCCCATGTGGTGAATGAATATTCATTACCGGTTTTTTTTTTTATCAGCTTCACTGATATGTGTTGCGCTGAATTGGTGAGGCAGCAGCGTCTTTTCAGGAGGTTTTAATAAAAGACAGGATATATGATATACAATTTTCAATAAAGAAATACTATGGAGACACTGCTTGTCATCTTTAAATCATTTTTGTAGCACAAGTTAATCGCAGTTTTATGTATTTATTTATTTCTTTTTTGAATAAATGATCATATCGTTTTTTGCTGTTTTACCTTGAATATGTATTATTTGATCGTCTCAATTGTTTTTTTGTTCTGACTCAGATTGGATGCGCCATCATCGCGGGGATCCTTCATTTCTTCTTCCTGGCTTCCTTCTCCTGGATGTGTCTTGAGGGGGTACAGCTGTACCTCATGCTCGTGGAGGTCTTTGAGAGCGAGTACTCGCGGAAAAAGTACTACTACGTGTCTGGTTACCTCTTCCCTGCCATCGTGGTCGGTGTCTCCGCAGCCATCGACTACGGGAGCTACGGGACCGAGAAAGCGTGAGTGCAGCTTTCTGAACAAATCCTTGGAAATGCAGAGCAGACCTGCTGGATGCTGCACTGTGTGAGCGTACCTGCTGTGTCTGTATGTGACAGCTTTTGGAAAGTAATCTACTCATCATTTCTGCCAGCACCTTGTGCGCATCCCTGGGGACGGCACCAAAACATTTGAGCTCCTTTTGCCAGGGATGGGCAGCTGTTCAATTTTTTATGTCATTTGAAAGTGGCTGACAGACTCAACACTGTGGTTTCGGGGGTGGGGGGTGGAGGGGGGTGCTGCTACATTAATGCCTTTCTGCTCAAAGACCCTCCAGTGACCTCTTGTTTGTAAATGCTCCCTTAAAGAGAAGAGCACTGTGCAGGAAAAGCCTTTTACGCAGATTAATGGCCATATCTCAGCTAAGACCCAGCTATCAAGAGGAGCTACTTGGGGTCTTCCTTCTGTTTTGTACAACTATATTAATGTCCAGCTGGTGAAAGGAGCGTCTGAAAGCGCTCGAAGTTAAATATTAAGTAGAAATTATTCACTCAATGTCATTAGCTCAAGTAACCAAAAATTAATAATTTCGGCCGCAGGAGCATGAAGACAACACTGGTATTGTTTTTCCTAGTGTGTGCTGCCCCAGTCTGAAGTGTGTGTTTCTTTGTCGCAGGTGCTGGCTAAGTGTGGATAATCATTTCATATGGAGTTTTATAGGACCTGTCACCTTTATCATCATGGTAAGCTGTTATTTTATTTTATTTTCTTCTTTGAATACTGAGACTGGCAGAGCGAGGAAGGGACTGAGAGGGTGAAAGAGATGCTGCGGATAAAGGAAGTGAGATGGTTGAACTGAAGGGAAAGTCTGCAGGATTTTTTTTTTCCTCAGTGATGACAGGTTAATTTTGCAGCAAAGACAGATTTAGCGGCATCCTTCAGTTCTCTCTGCCTCTCGCCAGCTGACAAGGATCAGGGTTTGATAGTGCACTTTTTTACGCATTGACACAACTCCCGTGAAGTCTCCCATTGCAGACGTTGCCAAATGGCCTTCAAGTTTACTATTTATGATAAAGTGGGAAAAAAAAAAGATTAAAAATGGCCCCAGAGCTCAATTTTACAGCACATACATAGAGTAAGATGGCACAGCTAGATTTTACAGCTCCTCTTTTTTTACTCCGCTGCATCTGCCTCCTTCTGTGTTTGTCTGCCTGTAGTAAATAGCAGATGACAGTGTCGGGGAGACGAAGAAAGGCAAAGGCACCTCTCTGTTTGGTCAAGGACCATCAGGGGTGAAGGACATATAGCATATCATATTGACATATGTCCTATTGAGGCATGCAATTATTTACTGGTCATGACACTATTATCTCTTGCTCCATCAGAGAGGCTCAGAAGAATGAGACCTTAGGGAGTCTTACCTCCCTGCGCCAAAAAAAAAAAAAGAAATAGCAGGTGGTATTCCTCAGATATATGCACTCAGCCCACCACACCATGTACTGCTCTGCCCTCGTGCACACCAAGGGAAAAGGAAGCTCTGCAGACTTGTCTTGCTGCTGTGCAGGGAGGACGGGTGGTATTTGTTCAGTACCATGTTCATTATCCAGCATAATGGTTGGTACTGTATCTACAGATGCAGTGACCTCTGTTGAACATCAAACTGACACTGAAAATATACTGGAGAGAAAGGGGCACCCATGTCAAATTCCAGCGAGTCCCTACACACCACTGGCAGCCCCGCTAGGAGCTTTCAAAGTAAAGATATAATACAGCTCTTCGTCTGTGTGGTAACAAAATAAATAAAAGACGAATCTGCTCGCTGGACTGCATTTCACAGTTTCCTCAAAGAAGGACATTGCCACTCGATGTAGCATTTAAAAATGGAGGAGGAGGTGCACAGAAGACCTGATGTATTTCTATGTTGAACAGAAAGGTCTGAGTAAATGCTTTCCTGTCTCTTTTCACTGCTTTTCTTTTTGTTGTTTCCCCGCAACCGCTTTGAATGTGAGAGCTCATAATTTAGGAAAAGCTAACACTGTATTAAAACAAACACGCATATCTCCCTGTCTCAGCAAATGCTTTGTCAGGCACACAGGAGTATGTTTCCTCTCCCTAAATTGGACCCTCATTGTTTTCCAATCGCGTGTTGCTTCCATAATGATTTGCATGAAAAATGCGTCTGCAGTGGAAATGATGATCGGGATCCCGGTGGTGATGACCGCAGAGATAGAATCATGACCCTGTGAGGAGCTAATGTATTGTAGCAGAGCTAATGTGTGACAGGAATGAGGTTTTTGCAGCACTGGCTCAGGACTTTGCGCACTGCTCCTCCGATTCTGTGCAACAATTGACTCAAAAAGACAAAGTACTGTGGAAAGGAGCATCTCAGGGGAGCATGCCGGAGCAAGGTTTGTCTACACCATCCGTGACCCTGGTTTCTCTACAAATTGGCTTTGTCCTTGTCAATGAGGGAGAGAAGTAGAAAAGGCACACAAGCAAGAAAAAAAGGAGAGAAAACGGTGGTGCTTTGGCTCATGTCTGGATTCCCGGAGCCCCGGCCGCGTGTGTGCCAAGTAACACTGGTTCTGACCTAGGGTGGGCATGCTTTTTTCTCATCCTTTTGTTTCTTTTTTTTTTTTTTTTCCTTTTTATTCTTGGCTTAAGCAGGTCCTAAATACTGACTGAAAACAAATGCTGGTGGAAGGCATTTAGATCCTTGTTCTTAGGCAAAGGTTGCCCTGTCTCTGGGCACAGGGGGTATTAGCTCCATGAAAGGCGAACATGGAAGTAATGAGTGGTGGGGGGAGCCATTAGTATGCTTGAGATAGCTTCAACACAAGGCCTCTTGGATCATGACATGTCGCGAGCAGTTCTTATCATCAGGACAGCTCCATCTGCACCTTTAATATTTTATCCCCAGCAGTTCATTCGGAGTTCAGTGTGTACACACACAGTCCACTTCAGAAAAAGCTTTCTCCTCGGTCCCAGTGTGGCGAGGTGCTTCTGCATGGCTTGCAGTGATGATTCAGAGACAGAGAGACAGAGTGAAGGATAGAGGCAAGGCAGCTCTGCTCTTGCAATGGGGATCCCCCGGGAAGGGCTGCGAAAGCATGTCGGTGGGGGTAGGAACATGTGCCGTGCTGCTAGGTTACTTTAAAGTACTGTGTCCCTCTCCTCTGTCTCATTGGATCCATGTCACCACTCCAGGCTGTGTGAAAGGGTTTTTCAAAAGTCCTCGCCCTCCTGCCCCCCCGCCCTCCCCCACTGTCTGACTCATGAAGGCGGCTGATAGAAATAATGGCTGATAGCTGCGAAACAAAACATAGTTTCAGTGCTGTCTGTGATATAAAAGAAGGTTCACAATTCAGGGTTTTTTTTTTTCTTTTTCTTTTTTCTTTTCTTTCTTTTCTTTTTTTTTAGTCGTCCCTCTCTTTTACTACCTGGGTTATTGTGAGTGGCTCCATGAGTTGATTGCATGTGGAGGGGTGATGTATTGATCACAGGCAGTCTTTTGATAGCAGTGTGCACCAGAACACGGATAATTTCTGTTCAAGAGTGAATGGCCATGGTCTGAGTCCACCTCAGAAAGGTCATTCATTTATTTCATGCCTTCATATTGGCAATGCGTCTCCATTTTTCTTTTTCACCACTATGATAGCACTGAAATGCAGTAGTTTGTAAGGCTCACCTGGAAAAAAAAAAAGAAACCTTTTGTTATTGCAAATGTGTTTCTTTGTATGTATTCTTGTTGTTACTCACAAGCCACAGATACAGTAGCTTACATATATTTGTCGGCTGTATTTTCATATTTGTCTGATTCTTTGATATGCACTATTGGAGACACACATTTCAATTTTTCTTTCTCAGATATTCCCTGACATTATTTATACATGCCTGGCTTGCGGTGCAAACACAGTCTGCTTCGTCTGCTGTGAGTGCATGTACATGCTGTGTCAGGGACTAGTTTGCCCCAGAATAAATGTTTTTGAAGTAAATTATTTGGAGCGGCTCCTTGCTGGCCCATCCAGCCTTTGTGTCTCTAAATCAAGGTATTGATTTTTAAGGTACCGAATAAATGCGCCCAGAAACACAGCACATAGTATCCTTGTCTCAACCTGATATGTGCCACTGGCTCCCTTAAGATTTAATACATTAAAACAAGAAAGCAAGCGCCTTCTCTCTCTCTCTCTCTCTCTCTCTTTCTCTCTCTCTCTCTCTCTCTCTCTCTCCTTCTCTCTCTCTCTCTCTCCCTCTCTGTCTCTCTCCCTCTCTCTCTCCCTCTCTTTCTCTCTCTCTCTCTCCCCCTCTGTCTCTCTCTCTCCCTCTCTCTCTCTCTCTCTCCCTCTCTGTCTCTCTCTCTCTCCCTCTCTTTCTCCCTCTCTCTCTCTCCCCCTCTCTGTCTCTCTCTCTCTCCCTCTCTGTCTCTCTCTCTCTCTCTCTCTCTCTATTCATCTGTCCACACGCAAGAATTGAACAAAATATACCATGTTCCCTCCAGTCTTCTGTAGATGGCTATACCTTATAATATTTCACTATGTGCATAAAATGATATGCACTTGTTTTGTACAACAAGAGGGTCTCTTATTTCTCCTGCTACTTTCATTCCCTTCTGCCTTTGCCAGACTGCTGCTGTGTGGATGTTTCTTTCCTTTTTTTTTTTTCTTTTTTTTTTTTAACTGTGATGGATTTTAATGCATTTCCATGCTCTTATTGATATAGAATGACACTAAATTTGGCGCCAGTCGGCCCGTCTGAGCCTGGCTGGAACGATAGATGTTTATTGGATTAGTCTGTGGACATGCAGAGATTTGAAGGCTCTCCTCTTTTAATATATTTTATAGACAAATTAACAGTTTTTTTCCCTCTCTGTCTGCTATATCTTGACTCGTACATCTTCATGGATTAACACTGCCATTACTCTGTTTTGACAGCTCAATCTCATCTTCCTGGTCATCACAATGTACAAAATGGTGAAGCACTCTACCACCCTGAAACCAGACTCTAGCCGACTGGAGAATATAAAGTAAGTAAAGCGTCACACGCTGAACTCCCACATTCTCTTGCTTATCAGCAATATAACACTGCTGCTATTCTGCCACTGCCCCCAGGAAGTATAAGGCTCTTTTACTCATGAGGTAATGATTTTTTGTAAAAATATAATTTTTAAAGAAAATGCATTACGTTCCCCGCCTCCAAGCCAAGTTTCAGTAACGTGTGAATGATTAAAACATAAGAATATATTTCTTTTCTCAGCAGGCGGGGCTGGGGGGGTGGGTCAGTTTTTGAAAGGATCCAGGACAAATGGAACATTTAACAGAGGTTTTCATTATTTTGATTCTAGACATTTCAAATGTAATACAGATTTTGATTTAGACTTTTGGCCTGACTGAGCTGTCATGATGACTACACAGACTCGTCACAGTCGTCTTTTTGTCCTTTGTTGTTTTGCTCCAAGCCACTAGCCACAGAACTGCACTGGCATGACACGCATCACTCTAAAGGCTGCAACTTAACTATGCACTACTGGCTCTGCTAGGGTGGGGTACAGTGGAACAGCTACCATGTGTGTTTGCCGCTGGAACATGTCAAACCTTTCTTTTTTCTTTTTTTTTCTTTTTTTTCTTTTTTTTTTTTATAGATCCCAGTTTCTAGTCCCAGAAAAGAAATTTCCCAAAACAACCGCCACCACCCCTCTCCCAACCCGCCCCCAACCCCCCCACCCCATCCCCCCTCTTGGTTTAGCTTTCTGAGTCGCCTCAACATTTATGATGTGTTTTGCTTTGGGAAGGAAAGTTTTCCGAAGGACTAATTGTTTTGTTTTGGGGTTTTTTTTTTGCACTTACGTGAAAATGATATTTATTGGTGTTTACTGCAGGCTGAATTTCCGGACCTCTTCAATTTGGGGTTATGTGTTTTTGTTGCTCACAGAAGTGCAGCCCCATCTCAGTTTGCAACACTATATTTCAACTTTCATGACTTAGTGTGTAGAAGCAGCGGTGTAGCTATTTTTATCCAATGTTTGTTATTTTTCATTTTTCCTTAATGAATGTGTGCAACATTGCAGCTCTGCGGTAAAACTGCAATCAGGAGGAACAGTTGGAAAAGGGCTTATTTAGACTCCTTGGTTTATTTGAGATAGACGACTCCTTTATCAAGGAAACCACAACAGAGCACACTGACTGAACATGGTGGCACTCACACTGGTGTGCCATTTGTACTTGGTTGTTCGAAATGATTTCTCTTAGGCTTGTTTATGCTGCAGAAATACATTGTGTATTAATAGCTGTTTCCCTGTGGTCTCTTTCTCTGTGTTTCTCGTGCCAAAGTCTGGTCTGATACTCAGTTTAGCACCAGTGTCATTGCATGTTGCATGTGAAGGCAAAGTTAACGCACACCCTCTCCTTTCTCTTCTGCTATCATTCTCCTCCTCTCTTTGTTCTGCCATCCACACCAGTAATTATCGCGTTTGTGACGGCTACTATAATACAGATTTGCCTGGGTAAGCTTTCGCTATACACCTCAGAAAATTTTACCCACACAACACCACCCACGCATACAGTAGCACACATTCAAATTGTACCACAGACAATGTGCACTGACCAAATGCTTTACACGGAATCTTGTAATTGAATCATCAATAGCAAAAACATACAACTTTCAGTTCTTGTTAGACCCTTAATTTCATTGCCTCCCGTGATCTCCCATGGATCAAAGTTGAAGATATCTCACTCAAACTAACCCACACTGTTCTGCGCTCTGATCTAATTGTGTTTCTCTCTTCCTGCTTATCATGCTCTCTAGCTATGAAGATAATAAACGGTTTATCAAGTAAGCACACGTTGCCCAGAAGTCTCCTCTTCAGCTTGTAGTTTATTCTCTCTCCTCGTTTATCCTTTCTTTTACTTTTTTATTTCTGTTGTTCTTTTTCTTTCTTTGGCCGGTTCATCCTCTCCCAAACTGCAGCTTCAAAGCTACTCATCCACTGTCCATGTGACTGTTCACTTTCACCACATCCATCATCTTGAAATCCAGTGGTGTGGTTGTTGTTGTTGTTGTTGTTGTTGTTGTTGTTGTTGTGTGTTTGAGCCTTTGAACTGTGACCACTGCTGGTGTCTGAAGGCTCCACAGGACCTTCACACACGATGCAGGGAATCTCTCTTTTTCCTTCACGTATGCCTGGTTCTCCAGTTCTGACAACACACTCACTCCATAATATTTGGTAGATGATAGTATTAAATGCCTTTTAGCTTATTTTGAAACATGCTGTGCTCTCTGATTATCATGTTCTAACACAGATAAAGTTATTTACAGAAAACCAGATCAAGGTTTTTGCTTCCTTCTTGTCTGTTTGAAGGCAGGAACTGCATTCCAGTTTGGGCTGAGAGTGTGTGTGAATGGAGGGGTGGGGACAGTGGGGAAGGGCTTTTTGCAGGCTTTTCATAGGTTTAGTGATTTAAAAAATCCCAACCATTATTCGGTCACTGAACGCCTCTCATGCTGGGTTTGTCCTCCCCTTGTGTTTGTTTCTTGCCGTCCTTTAGGTCCTGGGTCATGGGTGCCTTTGCCCTGCTGTGCCTGCTGGGTCTGACGTGGTCCTTTGGTCTCTTCTTCATCAACGAGGCCTCGATTGTCATGGCGTACCTCTTCACCATATTCAACACCTTCCAAGGAATGTTCATCTTCATCTTCCATTGCCTTCTCCAGAAGAAAGTAAGTTTCTGGTTATCCGCAGGGCTCAGAGACAGTGATTTGTCTTTCAAGGTTAAAGGCTTCTGAATTTGAGCAGTCGAGGCTGAACCTTCACATCGGCATGCAGAATTCACAGAGCACTGCACGCTGATATAAAGAACAAACACAGCTTGCTTCAAGATCTTGGCTAAGTCATATGTAAAGTCAATATTGTATGTAAACACTCGGCTATTTGCTCACGCAGGTCCGCAAAGAGTACAGCAAGTGCTTCCGCCACACGTACTGCTGCGGAGGGCTGCCGACTGAGAGCTCCCACGGTTCTGCAAAGACCTCCACCACACGGACCAGCGCTCGCTACTCCTCTGGTACACAGGTAGACCAGCAGCTTCACACAGTCAGAGACTCGGCGAGTGTCAAAACTGAGAAGAACACACTGTTCACACACACACACACACACACACACACACGCACACACTCATCTTACAGCTTGTTTATATTGTTATGGTTGAAACAATTGTTCATGAGAATGTACTTTCATCATGAGCATGTAGGTTTCACACACACACACACACACACACACACACACACGCACACCCTCATCTTACAGCTTGTTTATATTGTTATGGTTGAAACAATTGTTCATGAGAATGTACTTTCATCATGAGCATGTAGGTTTCACACACACACACACAAAAAAATGCACATCATGAGTTTTAGCTTCAGAGGTAGATCAAGAGACACAAACATTATGCCACATTTTACAAGCAGCATCTGCTGTACTGCATGAATACCTTTCTTCTGTTCTGCCCCTTTAGCACTTGCTTTTTATCTTTTTTCTCACTAACGTCATGTGCATGGGAAATAGCACTGCACTGTTTAAAGAGCATTGCAAGCACATTTTCCTGCGGGGAAAGCCGAAATTGCAAGGAAATATATTTGCTTTGTCCCTTTGTTATTAAAGGTTAATAGGCCTTATTAGACAACACCTCCCGATGTACTTTGCTTAAAGAGACAAATCCCTATCACACTTAAAAACCTCCAGCCTCGTTCAAGATACTCATGACTGGAGCTGAAGTCGATCAAAAGTTGACTTAGATAAAGTAAGTTTTGAAAGACACATACAGAGAAAGGTAGCATAAGTGCTGCTCTTGCCTCACTGCATATTAGTAGGCATGTGAGGAGTGATATAATCAGTGGTATGTACACAGAAAATAAATGAAAGTTGATCTGAAAGGTGAGCGGGCCTGTTTAAAGTCCTAATGACTGTCCCTTGTTGACCTGACAGAGTCGTATCAGGAGAATGTGGAATGACACCGTAAGAAAGCAATCTGAGTCCTCCTTTATCTCAGGTGACATCAACAGCACCTCCACCCTTAACCAAGGTCAGTTCACACCTCATTTCTCTCCACATGCACACCTATGCACACATTTCATCATCCAGCTAAAAATATCTCCTTCAAGTTCCAATGATCTCACACCACCATACAGGATCCCTCTCTGGTAATCATAATAAATGCCTTCAGCTTGAAAAGACAGAGCAGTGCAGTTAAGAAAAAAAAAAAAAAAGAAAAAAAAAAGATCTAGGCCTTTAGTTTAGTCTCCCTGTTCCTGCCAGTGACGGATTACAAAAATCCATCCTCAAATACCCTGTGCGCTGTCATTCTGGCCTGTAACGTCACTCTCAAAGTGGGGCAAGGCTTGAAAAACGTTTTTTTATTTAAGTGCTGGCCGTCCGGAGTTCATACCCAGGCTCAGGGGAAACATAGACAGAAATAAAAACAGGGGAAAAATAAAGTTTTATTTCAGGGAAATCTTAACACGCAGAGAGAGGCCATTTGTTGCTTGGCATAAAAGGTGACCTCTGTTACTTTACAGGGGGTTTATGAGGGAAGGAGGGAGAAAAAAAAACTGTCATTTATTATTTAGCTTGAGCGCAAATATGATGATGAGAAGATGATGTTCAACTCTGGCTGACCTGGAGTGCTTGGTGTGTTGTTAGGCTTTCTGCTGCCTCTGAAATGGCTTTCCAAGCATGCAAGGGAAAAGAGGGTTTACACCGAGGTAGTTTAACTTGACTCCCTCTGCTCCACTCGTCTGTTGCTGCCGCTCTTTACCTTCTCTCTCTTTTTCGCTGTCACTTTCCACAAGGTAAAAAAAAAAAAAAATTACACCTCGGGCTTTGAAGCACATTTTGACTTGTTTTTACATCAGTAACAATCTAGAAGTACGACTTTTGTTTCCTTCAGTACCATTTCCTGGAGATGTTAATGTAAAGGTTGGATATTGATCACTCCGGGGTGTAATAGCCTAGTTACCCTGGAGAGTCCGCGCACTAAAGGAGGGCTCTATCTCCTGGAAGCACTTCCCTGTCATTAAAATCATCCCTGGAGACTTCCCAATATGGCAGATGGCATTTAACACAGGTGATAAATGGCAGGTGGAAATCCTTAAAACACACCACAAACTGGGTAAAAAAACGGAAAGGAAGATAAGGTTTTGGAAGAAAATGGCCAAACATGAGTCTAAATAAAGAGTGTGATATCAAAACTTGGAAGGATTTTGCTCTTTGTCATAGGGGAGATTTTATAATTGGACCTAGTTCAATCAGCAAAAGAAAAAACCTTAGCACAATCGCAGGAATGCAGGGGGCTATTTTTGAGAAATGATATTTGCTGAAAATAAAAAGTAAATATGTCTTACGAAAAGCACAGATGACAGGATGCAATAATGAGCACAGCGGCTTGGTAGTTTGTTCATAAATGTAATGGGACCTGAATGACCTGCAACAACACATAACAAAAATGAACTTGAAAGCTGAAAAAAGAAACTGCTACCTAAAGTTATTAAATATAAGAAAAGTCTGCAAATATTTTAGGAGTTTGCAGAAGTAGCTGTTTTGTTTTGTCCCCAACTTTATCCTGCATCATCAACTTTAAAATAAACACCCTGAGTGTCAGATTTTGCCAGATGCCCTGGATGAAACCACACACCTCAAAAGACAAAAACAAAAAAAAAAATTGTCCTTCATTTCTTTTCTTCATGAAACTTTGAGTCTCTGTCGATTGTCTACGCCAAACTTATCTGCTCCTCTTCTGTCTTGCCACTCCAGGAATGACCGGGAATTATCTACTAACAAATCCTCTTCTTCGACCACAAGGCACTAACAACCCTTATAACACCTTACTGGCTGAGACAGTCGTATGTAACACCCCCACGGCTCCAGTGTTTAACTCGCCAGGTGTGCTTACTTAATACTTTCACCATGCATTCAGGCTTTTCCTCTCTCTCTCTCTCTCTCTCTCTCTCTCTCTCTCTCTC